TGATGTGTCACTTCGCAACCAATTGCATTGATTTAGCAGTATCTATGTACGTAGTAAAATCGTGTCCAACCCTTCTTACATTTGTATGGCACTCACTATTCCAATGTCCATAGCCCGCATCGTTCCAGGTGGAGCTTACCATGCGTGCATTTTTTCCGAGCACCACGCAACGAGCGATCTGCGAAATTCGGGACCATAGTGGTTCATTCGGGTTCACTGCATTGGGTAAAACAGCCGTTGCACTGAACCAGATTGTGCAAAGGCACGCGCTTGAGGAGGGTATTCACTACCAGCTCGTTCATGTATTTGTATGGCTTACGGGAATCTACATATCGAACCGCCAAGTTCTGACGTCACCAAGGTCCGTTAACAATGCCAAGTGTCTCGTCACTAAACCAATCTCCTTATGATCCCATACTTTATATTTTCTCCGTCCTGCATTGTTTATATGTGTTCACTATTGACTTGCTTTACAATTTTATCTTCATTTACGTAATGTATATATTTCTACTCGTTGTTGTGACCTTCAGATCCCAAGTCCTTGAAATCACGGACGATGATGCAATCGCTCGCATTGCGCCGAACTTGAGCAACACTGCACATGTTTGTGAGGATTGGGGCGAAGTTGCTTCGTAAGTTATTATTTTCAATCTTACTCAGATATCCTTAGCACAGTGCGGTCATTTATTGAAGCTGAACACCATGCACATTTTCATTGCAGGCTTGCCGGCGTGGAAGATCACGCTCGTGCAAGGCGGAACGAAAATGTGGCCATTAGACGCGGCACGATCACCGGATTTGTTGTCAATGCAGGACAACGCTGTATTCATGATGACACAGTTGAAGGGGGGGGTGTTTGCGGTCGCAATGCTCGCTACTTTTACACCAGCGAACGATGGAAGTGCTGCGCGGGACACGAGGAGATGGATGCCAAGTGTTTCACTGAGATTGGAGTCACATTCGACAATCAGGAAGGTTAGTAGTTAATGCCTAAATTATTGTACATGATACTCATAATTATCACGTTCTTCAGCTAAATATACGACACACATCTTACCTCTACACATACGTGCGCTCTTTTTCCAGTGCGTGACAAAAAAATCGGGATTCGCAAGGGCGTACTGGCAAAGATCGAATTGGAGGCGATCAAGCAAGTTATTCCGAATGCTTGTACCATTGAGTTCAGCATGGCAGACAACGAACAGAAACACGAAATGCTGACTGGTCTTATTGGAAGATGGCTCATCCAAGTAAGGAATATAACAACACAACAGCATGTTGTTATTCATACCAACAAATTCGTCATTTGTGTTTTGTACAAATTTTTTAGTCACGTTTGACTTCTCTCTTGGCTTGTGTTATCCATATTATGCTCACAGGTGAAAGTATGTGGCATCTGGGATGGGATCACAAGGTCAATAATTTCACTCAATCGCCCCTTTCATACTGTGAGTATAATCACCATGTCGCTTTTGTATATTTACATACCGTGTATTGTTTTTCGTTTGAACTAAACTTTACCATCGACATCCTGTCTTGCTATACTGGATAATGCTTAGGACATCCCATCAACAAATGACAATAACAAGCGGATTGGTACCAACACTGATGCCGTACATCCGACAACTCCTGCGAAGGTTCACCGTCGTCTCTAAGATTAAGTCATCGATACATATAATTTGTCCACTGAAATCTTCATATTATTATACTATACACATTTTTTCTACTATTTTCCATCCCTTTCAGGTGGATGGTCGTCCACTTACTTGGACAACTTGAATGAAATTGATACAATGAGTAGCAGCGAAACGTCACAGGGGAAACGGGAGGGGAGGGGGATGATTGGGGAGGAATGGAATGGGTGGGGTGGTGGGGAAGGTGAGTGCAGGGTCTAAGACTTGGGCAAGGTAGCATCTTAAGATAATGGGTCATATGTTTTCCATTTTTTTATAACCATACTTTTGTGTTAACCTATTTCTTTCCATATGTATCCCTGTAATGTACTATCACGTTGATCTATCATTCGGTCAACAGTGTACCACGTGGTATGCCTGTGTTTTCTACGTACCGCATTGCCACATCATGCACATAAAGCATTGATGCATTTGCTTCGTTGCACTCACTACTGTTCCGTATTTTTTGTTGTCAATGGTGTTTACCGTCTCTTGTACATATGTTCTATGGTGTATTGTATTGTTACGTCATGCACATACCTGGTTGTATTGTCTTGTCCCCGTGGAAACGATGCCGACTATGCCTAGTGCAATATACAATCTGCGATTGTCGTTGCCGGTCTGGGAACTCGCTTCCCATAACGTGCATGTCAGTCTCTATTGTAGCACGAAAGCATTGACGCGTTCGTTTTCCTACCCGTAATATTGTACTATGTAATGTGCTCGATGGCATGCGTTATTAAGAGAGTGCATCTTGTTGTGGGTGCAGTGAGACGACGCAGCGTATGCCTAGTGCACAGTACAAATTGCGACTGTCGTTGCCAGTTTGGGATATTCTTTCCATAACGCGCATGTCAACACAAAAGCATTGATGCGTTTGCTACGTTGCATTCACTACTGTTCCGTATTTTTTTTTGTCAATGATGTTTGCCGTGTCTTGTGCATATGTTTTACATGTATTGTATTGTTACGTCATGCAAATACCTAGTTGTATTGTATTGTACCCGTGGAAACAATGCTGACTATGCCTAGTGCGGTATACAATTTGCGATTGTCGTTGCCGGTCTGGGGACTCGCTTCCCATAACGTGCATGTCAGTCTCTATTGTAGCACGAAAGCATTGACGCATTCGTTTTCCTACCCGTAATATTTTGCTATGTAATGTGCTCGATGGCATGCGTTATTAAGAGAGTGCATATTGTTGTGGGTGCAGTGAGACGACGCAGCGTATGCCTAGTGCACAGTACAAATTGCGATTGTCGTTGCCAGTTTGGGATATTCTTCCCATAACGCGCATGTCAACACAAAAGCATTGATGCGTTTGCTACGTTGTATTCACTACTGTTCCGTATTTTTTTTTGTCAATGATGTTTGCCGTATCTTGTGCATATGTTTTACATGTATTGTATTGTTACGTCGTGCACATACCTAGTTGTATTGTATTGTCCCCATGGAAACAATGCTGACTATGCCTAGTGCGGTATACAATTTGCGATTGTCGTTGCCGGTCTGGGGACTCGCTTCCCATAACGTGCATGTCAGTCTCTATTGTAGCACGAAAGCATTAACGCATTCGTTTTCCTACCCGTAATATTTTGCTATGTAATGTGCTCGATGGCATGCGTTATTAAGAGAGTGCATATTGTTGTGGGTGCAGTGAGACGACGCAGCGTATGCCTAGTGCACAGTACAAATTGCGATTGTCGTTGCCAGTTTGGGATATTCTTCCCATAACGCGCATATCAACACAAAAGCATTGATGCGTTTGCTACGTTGCATTCACTACTGTTTCGTAATATTTGTTTGCCATAATGTATTATGTGCTGTTGTAATGTAGTATCTCTATCATTCTCCGCCGTAATTATCGACGGTGAATGATTTGAGACTCTCATCATTCATACCGTATTCCCCCGGATATACGCACCGCCAGCTAAAACGCACCATGGTGCGTATATCCGGAGGGGTGCCATATCGGATGTGCCAATGATACGCACCCCCCCATTTTCCAGATTCTAATCCCTATACGCACCCCCCTTTTCCCCGTGGGAATCTCGCACTGACTATGTTGACTGTACATTTGGCATCAAGTTTACGTGACGAATCACTTCATCACACAAAATCGACCCCTGGCCTTCCGACTCATCGAAGGTGTGGTCGGCAAAGCTCTGCTGCCGCGTCAGATGAGAGAACGGATGGCCAGGATCGCCCACGCTAGCCTGCACGCTGGCAAACTGCAGCGAACGTGCTGCTTGGCTGACGCGTCAATCGTCTGGGAAGCGATTTTGGCGGGACTTCTCTGGTTGTTCCCGTTTGGGAGCATTCCATTCGATTGCAATTTGTTCTAGCTACATGTTCATGTTCGTTTCAAAATTTTCCTTAAGAACGTTTTTAACGCACCGTGCCATATAAAAAAAATCCAATTAAACGCACCCCCAAAATTATGACTATAATCCCTATAAGCACCTAGGGGCGTATATCCGGGGGAATACGGTAGGTAGCTTAGATAGTTGTCCCAAATCTCTATGCTATTCTTATATTTTTATGTCGGTATGAGTATCGCCGACATATCAAATAAAATAGCATGGATTTTTGTCTTGCACGATAAAATGGTTAGCTAAGTCTAACAATAGTAGTATAATAATAATAATGGATAGAAAAGTAGAAGAATAGAAGAAAAAAATGACAATAGTAATAGGAACAATAGTAGTGGTAATAATAATAATAATAATAATAAGACAAAGAGATCAAACATGACAAATACATACACTAGAAACTACAAACAACAATAATAACGGGAATACGTATGTGGCAATAAATAATACTAATACTAATAATAAATATAAAAGACTCTTGTAATAATATAATATAATAATATAATATAATATAATACAAATCTTTAGAGTAAAGGATGCATTAGACCCTAAAAAATGATATGGGTTATTATCTCGATAAGATTTAGAAAAAACAAACAAACAAAAAAATGATATGAGTTATTATCTCGATAAATTTTAGAAACCAAAAATGATATGGGTTATTATGTTGATAAGATTTAGAATAGAATAATATGTAATGCAATATCTGTCCACCACAATCGGTCCACCGACCGATTATAAAGGGTTGCTACGCAACCCAAAAATCTTGAAAATGTCGACATTGGATTATGTGATGATTGCTTCCATGCCACATGCCATTAATATAAAAAGCTAGAAGTGTGCAGGAATGGATTGGGTATATGGACGTCGAGACGCTGTATTGAGTCTGGATGTCCCAAGAAGTCATGCCAGTCCCAAGGTTTCGAGGAACACTCTGTGGCGATACGAGAGCCAGGCAACTGACTGAATATCACTCCAGTCCCTGGTGTCATCCCATTTCCCATCAGCCTTCGTCCTCGGCCCTCGTTCCTCGCAGGACTCTCAATTGCCATTTCCAATCGAACGCTCGCTTCGCCACAATGGTATGTTCCCACTGTTGAGAAATAAGTGATGCGTAGGACTTCCTGATTATCTATCCAACGGATTTCGTGGCAGGTGGTCGCGCAAGCAGCAAGGACACGCGAAACGACCCACATCTCCGAGAAAGAGTCATTGCAACTGACGAGGAATCTGTTGCGCATTGCTGTCTTCAACATCAGCTACATCCGAGGCCTTTTCCCGGAGAAGTATTTTGACGACAAATATGTGCCTGCTCTGGGTAAGTGCTCCTCCCTCACAGGTGACGACAAGGAGCGATATGAGCACTAGTAACTATTTCTTCTGCAGAAATGAAGATCAAGAAGCTCATGCCTGTGGACCCAGAGTCGAAGCGCCTGATTGACTGGATGGAGCAAGGTGAGTGCTGACGAAACTGGAAGTCGGCATTACGCAGCGAAGTGCTAATCTCAGTGCTCAACTTTCAGGTGTCTATGACGCGTTGCAGAAGAAATATCTGAAGACTATGGTATTTGCGATTTGCGAATCAGACGGAAAGTCTCTTTTGGAAGAGTATACATGTAAAGTCGATTATGCGCTGTACCAGTTGTCTCTTGCATATTGTGAGCCAACCTCACATTTTTGCTTCTTTTCAATGCAGTCAACTTCTCGTATGCGTCCCAGACCGGGGACGTGTCTCTGAACATATCAAAGTCTGGATGTAAGGTCAAAGATACCACGATCAACCCCGTCGGCTCGGATGCAACTCCCGCACAGATGAAGTAAGACGTGTTTCACTTCTGTCTCTCACCGTGTGCTAATCGAGAAAGCTAACTGGCACTGCATCCACAGAAACTCTGCATGCAAGCTTGTTCGAACGCTCGTGCAGCTCATGAGAACACTTGACAACGTCCCCAATGAGGTCAGTTTCCATTTTCTCTTGAAAAGAAACAAGAGACCGACGCTCGCTCATCGCATTAACTCGTTTCGTTTATGATGACAGAGAACAATCATTGTGAAGCTCTTGTATCATGAAGATGTCACGGTAAGTGCCTGAAATGGGTTGAAGTCCTGGTCTTTAAATAATCACTGACTCACTGACAATGTAGCCCGAAGACTACGAACCGCCTTTCTTTCGAAGCTGTGGCGAGAAGGAAAAGCTGAACTGGTCTATTACCCCTCTGAAGATGAAAGTTGGAGATGTTGATAGCAAACACTATTCGATTGCTCTGAAGGTGAGGGACTATTTGTCGTAATTTTCTTTGTCTCTATGTTCCGTCCTGTGCCAATTCTCCTAATCTGGGTGCCGAGCTGTTCAGGTGCGGAGTGTTCTTGATCCTTGTGATAACAATGAGGAGCAGCAAGGCAGTCAAAGCAATGAAACAGAAACCTCGGGCCAGTCATCTGAGTCAGACGAAGATGAAATTGGCCATGGGAAAAAGGTCAGCTTCCTTTGACACTTAATTCTACTCTGTCCTCCAATTTGCACTGAAAGGTGATTCGTGCTATGTCAGGACGGAAGTACCAGGGAGACAAGCCACCTTTCAAAAAAGGAGCAAGACAATGAAACCTGTGTGTGGCCGGTATCTCATTATGTTGTTGTTCTCGTCATATGGTTCACACCTAACAGCCCTTCTATGTTTGCAGCTAAACTCATGAGCACTTCTTCGGCTCCACCTTTAAGTCTTATCAGGTCATGGATTCTATCAAGGCCAACGACCACCGTTGACGTCATGGATGTTTTGGCCAACTTTCCGGATGTGTCTTTGGTGGGTAGTCAATGCTCTGGCGGCTAGCGTCCAGCTGGGGTGTGGAATATGACTGCTAACTGTTCAGTCTTGCATTTCAGGTGTCTATTGAAGGTATGCGAGAAAAATATGCAGCTTGCAATGTGTTCGTCAACTTATTGGGGGTTTCTTTCAGAAATCATGGACCAGCTTGTCAATGAAGGAAAACTTCACACTGTGAACGCGGACCTATACTCCTTAGTACATGGAGACGAGGTTGATCTGGTGAGAAAGCCCAGCACCATATTCTAATTACGCAATGGTGGCATGGTCCATAGCTTATATTTCCTTTGGATTTCAGAAACAGCCCAGCCCTAAGAAGCATGGCTCTCCAGTTCAGAAGTCGTCGGATGCTTGCGAAGAGGACGAGCACACTCGGATGTATCACAAGGTGAGGTCGACCTTCTGAAAAAAAAAGCCTGCGAATTCAGTACTTTTCCCTCTACTTGTGCCCAAGCGCGTAAGCATAACCTGTTGGACCCTGACATGAACGGTACCACGCAGGCTTTGGAGCATGTATTCAATTTGGAATACGTGACTATTGCAAACCTACAGTCCATTTTGGGAAACACTACACCTGTGGCATCAGTAAAAAAGATATTGGAGCAAATGGGATCAGAAGGGTACATTGAAAGTACAGCCAGCAACAGGAAGAAAGGTCTGCTCGTGTGGTTGCTTTTGCCTCCAGCATTTCCACATTTGGCAATGACTAACAATGATGCGTCTGCTATCATTTTCAGGAAGGAAGGTTCTGCGTTCCAAGAAGATTCACACTGGAATGGAGGAAGACAATCGTGAAGCCAAAGACGGCGTACATGGGGTTGCCCCCGCTCCCTCTACAAGGAAGGCACATGTTGAACCGCAGACAGTTGTGAGCCCTTCTGCAGTGGCTCAGGCTTGCTCGTTAGGGTCAGATATGACGAGGTCTCGAGTAAGGGAGGTCTCTGTTGTGAAGAGCGAGAGTGGGTTCAAGGAGCCAGCTTCTTCTTTGAAGGTATGCCTCTTTCCACAACTGAACTTGCCATTCTAACAGAAGTCACATGATGAGGACGTTCAGCTAATATTATCTGTATCACTGTGTTTTCAGGGCAAAAACTTGTCCAGAAAGGCTCCTCCTGAGGTCAGTTCCACTGGATATGAGAAGATGAAGCTGGGACCAGAACCAGGGTTGTTTGGGGAGCTGGAATTTGTGAAGGAAAGCCAAGACACCATCAACTTCAGCAATCCAAGAATCCGCAAGGCCAGCATGGTAATCTAATAACATTTGCTAATATTAATTTGTTGATCACACAGATGTGTAACCCGGTGCTTTTCCCTCTGCTGTTCACAGGTGGTTGAACCTATTCAGCAAACATTCAAGAGGCAGCGATCATCAGCTTGTTAGGACACGGTGGTGCCTACATGTGGCATTGATGGCAGGAATTGAGCAGGAGCTCTTCCTGATGGCAGGGTGTTCCATGCTTTGAGGATGGGCCCCACAGAATGCTACTGGAATACCTACTGACATGGCAGCTGGAAAAAGCACCTATCAATCACTGGATGTGGATGTATTTTCGTTTACTACTGGTAGTTAAGTACATGATCATGGTTTACAGGGTAAAACGAGAAAAGTGATCGCCTTGGCCGCTGGAGCTTTTCCGCATCCTCTAGGCTCTCTTCATGCACTAACCTGAAACCAACGGAGCTATAAAGATTAATTGCTGCATTGTTGCTTACTTCTACATGGACGTGAATTGATGAAAACGTCCCCTGCTTCAGCAAGTCCCCCAGCGCAAAAGAGAGGAGACCATGGCCTACTCCCTGTCGCCGCATGGCTGGTGTCACACAAAGGTTGAAAATGTAGGCAGCGCCACCGGAAACTGCTGCAGGATCTCGAGGTCGCTGGGTTTCCATCCTATTGGCGCATTGAGGGACATCAGCGCCAACTCCCATAGCATGGTGAATTGCACGGCCCCATGGCCGCGATCCCATGTGAAATAGGTCCTCTGCCATCTGCAGCAAATAGAAAGTTACAGAACATAGCTGTGGGCGCACATTGGGTGCAAACAACACAGATGGATCACTGAGCAGAAATGCAACTCTCAAATTACTAATGAAGCATCAGGCGTGAGGGCCCAAGCTCTGGGGCAATGTCCGGTAAAGAAGGGGATTGAAAGCTTTGACTAACATCCAAACGCAAATAAACGGGATTGTTGCACCCAAAATCACGGCCAAGATATCTCATGTGTCTGCCCGACAGGCAACAACAGGTATGGTAAAAGCAGAGAGGCAGAGAGGGAAAAAGGATCATCTACTTACATCAATGTCAAGAGTTGCAACAGCAGCATAGACTCCTCCTGCTGCACCATCAGGTAACGTTGTTAACGATGAATCCAGTTGTGGAGGCGTTAAAAGTAACGAGGTGGAGTTACTTTGTGCAGGGAAGCGGAGCGTGTGGGCCATACGTTCCCATGGACAGATGGCGAGATATGTGTCGACATGTGCATTTACCAGGCGGAAAGAAAGGTCCTGAAACGGGGAAAAGGTTAAGGGAGAAGGATGATTGGTGCCAAACACGACTAATAAACCAAGCATGTCTGCTAAAAAATGGCGACAGACTGTCAGTATATACCCTGTCAAATTCATTCTTGAGGCGAAGGCCATACATATCCGCTACTATGGCTTCCTCCATCGGACCAAAGGCCCCACTGGTGCACTGAACTTCTGAATCCCCAGCACTGTTCCCATTAGAAGCATTATTGCGACCAGAACCAGAGGGGTACTCATAGAGCAGCTGCGCGCGAAGGGTGGCAGCAGCCAGTAGGTGATCAGGAGTCGATGCACGCATCAGCAGAATGCTCAGTGGACGTTTCAAACTGCTGCTGCTTGTGCTGGTGCTGCTGCCGATGTCGGTTGGTTCATTTGGTCGATCGCCTGGAAATCCCTGGCAGATATGTGGAAGGCGCGAGAACCTGGTGTAGGAGGGAAGAACACGCGGAGACGCGTGCGAGAGTGAGGTATGAAAAGCAAGCCAGTGTTACAGACACGTGTGCCTCTCCCGTGAACATTCTCCTGGTCTGCTCGTTCGCCTCACCGGTTGCGTTCTCTCTGCGGCCCTGCCCGCCGCATCCCCATTAGAGTGCCCCTACGCAGGTTGCCAAAAGCCAAATGTAATCTCTTGGCGTCTTTCCACTGCGGAGTATACGACGATCCGTTTTTTCCATTCCAGGAAATGGAGTCGGGTTCCTTACACCGAAAGCTGTAAGCGCTCTGAGACACAAGGCGGAACGACGCCATGCCTGGACAGGGATACAGCAAAGGTGGAAACCAGAAAATGCGTCTATCCAGGCAGCCAGCACAACTCTGAAGAAAAGGGGGGTTTAGGGAGATGGTGGAGGTGATGTGGTTGACTTCGATTTGGAGCAGCCTCTACTGAGTCCGTACGCGTTTTAGACGGCTTGACGGTGAAGTGGTTACATCATTACAGTGGAAACAAATCACTGCTGATTCGCGCCAAAGTGCAGATCGGAATCTCGGAAACAATCGCATCCTTTTCTCTGGCTTCTGGGCCTTGATGATGTGAATTTGGGCTTTCCGACCTGGTCCCGACCTTGGCTGAGCATTCGGCTTTTCTACGGCCTAGGTATTTGCTGGCTGTCACCGCACTAGCTTTATCTCACTGCTCCCACGTTTCGAGTTTGGCTGATTTACATCTTGTTGACCTGGCAAGGCTTAGAAGCCGACGGCTGCTGGGAGTTTAGCATCGTGTTGATTTGGGCTTTTCGCCACGATGGACGATCGGAGGAAGAAGCTTGAGGCCCTGGCGCAAGCGCGCCGAGCCGGAATCCCGCCGGCTCCGGCTCCGGCGTCGGCCGCGGTTGGCAACCGGAAGGAGGGCCGTTCTAGCGGCAAGAACGGGGGAGCTCGAGTGAGCAAGCCAGAAAAGAAGCAGCAGCCTGGGGGAAAGGGCAAGGAGACGAAAAAGCCGAAGAGGAAGGGTTCGGACTATGAGGACGATGACGATGAGGAGGAAAGCGAGGGGTTTGACGCGAGCGACGAGGAGGAGGAGGAGGAGCGGAGGCCGAAGAAAGGTGGAAAGCCGGTCAAGAAAGCGAGCAAGCCAGTTCAAAGAAAAAAATCGAGACGAGGGAGCGACAGCGACGAGGACGAAGAGGAGGATGAGGCGAGCGACGAGAGCGAGGATGAACGGATTAAAAAGAAGAAGCGCGGAGGAGGCGGAGGCGGTGGTGGTGGGGGAAAGAAGCGGCGTGGGGATGACGACGACGACGACGATCCGGATCGGGTGCGGATTGTGGAGGAGCCGCCTGATTCAGTGGATGCGCGGAACATCCTCCCCAGCCGCACCAGGAGAGGTGGACGAGCTCCGCCTCCGCCTCCTGTGGCGAGAGGAGGGGGGAGCAGCGAGGAGGAGAGTGACGATGATGAGGAGGGGAGTGGGTCGGACGGAGGAGGGGAGGAGGAGAGCGATGAGGAGAGCGATTGAGGGCATCCTGGCAGGTGAATTTGTTCTTGCTCTTTTCTGCTTGTTCTTACTGTTCTGTCCGTGTGTCTTTCTCTCCTGCCCTCAGTGCTCCACGCCATAAACTATTTCCGATGCTAATGCTCTCTCTTTCCTCACTGCCATGGTTAAAATGTTCACTTGTTTTTCACATTGCAGGGCTGCGGGTCGTTGTGGCTGCTCGGACAGTCAGTCAGAGCCATCTTCTCCCAGATTGATGGGGATTGTGTGTTTCCGGTGTTGCCATTTACCTTGTACTCGTGTAAATCGCAAGTCTCCTAGGACTGACTGACACACCACCTGTTTAGTGTCTGCCTTAGCATTCGGAATGGGCACTGCCACTTGTTAGTAATGGTTACCAATGTAGTGAAGGTCCATGTAAGGAATTTCCATTCCTTACTGAGTCGTACGCTAGCGCGTACACCCGAACTCCTCGACTTGTCGCGTTTATCGGCCCAACCCTTTCCCGAGTCGCGTCCGGCACTGTCGCCACATTGCTGAACCTACGCACGTTCCGGGGTTATCGCCCTAGCACTCCAACCCCTATATAACCTCGTGCCTTCATTGCTATAGCGACCTTGATTTCTCACGTTTTAGTTCATTGACACTTCCTATATCATACGGTAACAGTCCACTAGAAGGTCAGCACCGGTGTAGGGTGGGATAGGGCTGGTTGCACTGATGCAGGGTTTGCTTGCCTTATTGTGAAGCCATGTGATACCGCAGGATAGGGTTTGCACTGATGTGATGGATGTGGTTTGTCTGATGGGTTTTGGCTGATTGCTGGATTCTGGGCCTGGACTGATGTGTTTTCAAGCATTGCCTTAAACACGATATATGGTAGGTCTGCGCACAACACGTCCAAGAGTATAGTGGAGAGGTTTGGAGGAAAATCGTACCCCTACGGAGCTACAGCAACACGTTGATGCATTCTGTGCTGTTCTACCCCCACTCCCCCCACTCCCTCATGGCTCCTCCTCTTCTCATGCACCCTCTCCTTCTCCCTCTCTGCCTGCACCACCAACCCATCCTTCCTGTCCTTATCCTCCCCTTCAACAGCAACAGTGGCTCTAGACCCCGCACCACCCGGGTCGCGAGACCCCGCCGCACCACCCGGGTCGCGAGACCCCGCCGCACCACCCGGGTCACGGTTTTTACCAGTATGAGCTTGAGGCAGAGCAGAAGGAGCGGGAGGAGCAGTGGCTGCATCATTCATAGGCCAGATTGTCCACGATGCAGGGGCCTCGAAAGGGGGCGGCGTCTTGCGTTTCTTGTGCGGGTTGACCCACCACTGGGTGAGCGATTGTAGCGGCGGAAGAGGGGGGTACGGGGGCGGGGGAGACACGTCGGATGGGGGAAACACTGGGGAAGTCTCGGGGGGAGGGGGAGGGGGGAAAACCTCGGGAGGTGGGGGGGAATCGGGGGGATATGTCCATGGAGGGGGGGTGGTCCAGGGAGGGGGGGTGGTCCAGGGAGGGGGGGTAGCAGGGGGCCAAGTCCAGGGGGGAGGGGGAGCTTCAGGGGGCCAAGTCCAAGGGGGAGGGGGAGCATCAGGGGGCCAAGTCCAGGGGGGAGGGGGAGCTTCAGGGGGCCAAGTCCAGGGGGGAGGGGGAGCTTCAGGGGGCCAAGTCCAGGGGGGAGGGGGAGCTTCAGGGGGCCAAGTCCAGGGGGGAGGGGAAGCTTCAGGGGGCCAAGTCCAGGGGGGAGGGGGAGCATTGGGGGGCCAAGTCCAGGGGGGAGGGGGGGCGTTGGGGGGCCAAGTCCAAGGGGGAGGGGTGGTCGGGGGCCAAGTCCAGGGAGGGGGAGGGGAGGGCGCAGCAGGAACAGGAGGGGGGGTGGTGATCACGGGAGGGGGCTTCGTCCAGGGAGGAGGGGTGGTCTTGGGAGGAGGAGGAGGAGGGATAGGAGGAGCAACAGGGGTTTTACTAGGAGGGGGGAGAAGAGGCTTGGGAGGGGGAAGTGTGGGTGGTGCTGGTGGGGGGAGTTTAGGTGCAGGGGGCGGGGGCTTTAACAGGGGGGGAGGGGGCTTTAACAGGGGGGGAGGGGGCTTTAACAGGGGGGGAGGGGGCAGGGCTATAGGGGGTTTTGGCGGAGGGATGGGCGGGGGCATGAGGGGAGGCGAGGGCATGGGTCCTGGGGGCTTTGCTGTGAAATTGAAGAAGCGAACGCCGGTGGTGCCTGGGGTGGATGGGGGGAGGAGATGGGGTGGATGGGGGGGGAGAGTGAGTGAGTGGGTAGCACCGTAGCAAGAGAGTATCTGGCTAGAGGGAGAGGTGAGTGTGGCATGGAAGAGTGATAGGTTGAACGAGAGAGTGAGGGAGCGCTGGGGTGAGGGAGGGAGAAACGGGGAGGGCGAATGGGGAGGTGGGGACTTGTAATATGGTGCTGCCCATTCGCCATTTAATAATCTGGTACTTACAGTTCATATCTGCCCATGATATGGTGCTGTCCTTGTAATTGTATATTACCATCTTGTTGCGCAGGAATGACTCTGCCATACAAAAAGATGCATGCACATGCACATGAAGCAAAGGCACAATAAGTGCGAAACAGGATGACCATTTCAAAGACGAGCAGGAGCAAGTGTCTAACGCTGAGCTTGAGTGAGAGATTTTCGAGGACTCTCAAAACCAAGAACAGGAGCCAGCGTCCAACACTGGACTTGATTGCACTGCAGGCATGGCATGGCATGGCATGGCATGGGACCGGATGGCATGGCATGGCATGGCATGGCATGGCATTGGATGGCATGGCATGGCATGGCATGGCATGGGATGGCATGGCATGGCATGGCATGGCATGGGATTAGACATGGTCATATCGCATCGCATCGCAATATATCGCATCGCATTATATCGCATTTTGCGATTGCGAAAAAAAAAAAAAAAAAAAAAAAAAACACACACACACACACACAAATATAGCGGCGACGTGATGCGATTATATCGCGCGATTTATGTGATATCGCGTTTATATCGCACTTCTTTTGGCGCGATAAAATGCGATTTGCGATATTTAAAAAATCGCCCGCGATATGTGGAGCTCGCCATTTTTTTTTTTGCTGTTTATTTATTAGAACTGACGTTGTAATGGTGTGTTGTGCCCCTGTTTGAAACCCTTCGGCAGTTCTCAGTTATCTAACTATCCAAATTGCTGCTGTAGTTTACTTAGCCTTGAGATTTAGCCATGGCGATGCGATATTTTATCGCATCGCGCGATATATCGCACTCTACAGTGCGATATTTAAAAATATCACACCTAAAACGCGATATGCGATTTTGGGTTTTTTTCAAAAATATCGCATCGCCGCGATATAATGCGCGATAAGTCAAAATGCGATGCGATATCGCATCGCATCGCATTTTGACCATGTCTACATGGGATGGCATGGCATGGCACCGGATGGCATGGCATGGCACCGGATGGCATGGCATGGCATGGCATGGCATGGGATGGCATGGCATGGCATGGCATGGGATGGCATGGCATGGCATGGCATAGGATGGCATGGCATGACATGGCATGGCATGGGATGGCATGGCATGGCATGGGATGGCATGGCATGGCACCGGATGGCATGGCATGGCACCGGATGGCATGGCATGGGATGGCATGGCATGGCATGGCATGGCATGGCATGGGATGGCATGGCCTGGCCGTCACTCAATAGCACAACACCATTGCCTCAAGCACCACCAATGCTGCCTACCGCCTATGGTGGTGCGGGCGTCAGTGGTCTCTGCTGCTGCTAGGCACATCTTGCCCGTGGTGATGTTCTGATGGCAGGGGAGGGGACAGGTGGGCGGAGGAGACTGGACGGCACATCATATGCTATCCGGGGTACGGTCATGGGACGTGGAAGATGTATTTTGAGTCGACTCAAAGCACACAAGGAGACTGGATGGCACATCATATGCTATCCGGTCCGGGGTACGGTCATGAGACATGGGGCATGCTTGCTTGTAAGATGAGAGGCATGTATCAGGGAGGAAAGGCGAGGAGGAAAGTGGTGTCATAGCAGGCAAACGGGGGAACAGCGCAGGTGAGGAAAGAGAAATGAACAGGAGAGCGAGGGAGAGAAAAAGGGGGAAGCGCAAGGGGCGGAGGGCAAGGGGGGGAGAGCAAGGGGGGGAGGGCAAGGGGGGGAGGGCAAGGTGGGGAGGGCAAGGGAGGGAGTACCGCGATGAGGTAGGACTGGGGCAGCACGTAAAAGATGACGTTGTTGGGGAAGACGAGCTGCATGTTGGGGAACTGCGGGTAGAATAGCTCCGGCTTCTTCCTGCACCGCGCTCGTAGGGACGCACAGCGGGAGATGGGAGAGAAAGGGCAGGGGGGGAGAGGGTTGTGGGAGAGAGGGGAGGTGGGAGAGAGGGGAGGTGGGAGTGAGTGGAGGTGGGAGAGAGGGGAGGTGGAGAGAGTGGAGGTGGGAGAGAGGGGAGGTGGGAGTGAGTGGAGGTGGGAGAGAGGGGAGGTGGAGAGAGTGGAGGTGGGAGAGAGGGGAGGTGGAGAGAGTGGAGGTGGGAGAGAGGGGAGGTGGAGAGAGTGGAGGTGGGAGAGAGGGGAGGTGGAGAGAGTGGAGGTGGGAGAGAGTGGAGGTGGGAGAGAGGGGAGGTGGAGAGAGTGGAGGTGGGAGAGAGGGGAGGTGGAGAGAGTGGAGGTGGGAGAGAGGGGAGGTGGGAGAGAGGGGAGGTGGAGAGAGTGGAGGTGGGAGAGAGGGGAGGTGGGAGAGAGTGGAGGTGGGAGAGAGGGGAGGTGGAGAGAGTGGAGGTGGGAGAGAGGGGAGGTAAAGAGAGTGGAGGTGGGAGAGAGGGGAGGTGGGAGAGAGGGGAGGTGGAGAGAGTGGAGGTGGAGAGAGGGGAGGTGGGAAAAAGGGGAGGCAATGGAAGCGGTGGTTAGTAATGAGCTCGCAAAGGGAGGGGGAGGGTGCATGTGTGTGTGTGTGTGTACTCGTGCGTGCGCGCGCGTGTGTGTGTGTGCAGGTGTGTGTGTGTGTGCGTGTGTGTGTGTGTGTGTGCATGTGCGAGGAGGAAGAAGGAGCCGGCGGCAGAGAGAAGGGGCGGGGAGGAGGGGCGGAGACTGACTGCTTGTAGGGCGCGCCTTTCCAGCAGATGAGCCCAAAAGTCTTGGAGTTGCCCTTGTCGTACGTCAGGTTGGGCATCAGCCCCACCAGCTGCACGCACGCACGCCGGGCACAGGGTGGAAGGGGAAAGAGATAGGAGCAGGCGGAAGGGGGGCGGGCAGTAGACTGAGCCTCACAACTGGCAGCGCCTCTACTGTTTCACCGCACAACTGAGCCCCAGCGCCACAACTGAGCCCCACCGCACCGCACCGTTTCATTAATCGCGAGCAGCGCAGCGAGTGGCATCCTGGTAACCGTGGTGAACGGGTCCAAGACCACACCCCCCTCCCCCTTCAACGTCGGCTTCGCAAACGTCCCGGCCGGCACCTTGAGCGCCGCACTCCCCACGCGCACCTCCCCGAGCTCCACAAAATACATCGGGCTGGGGATTATCCGTTGCATGGGAATGGTGTCGCTGTACCCGTCGATCAGCGCGTCGCCCAGGTTAAGGTAGGAGCCGCCCTTGAGCCCCATGTCGCCCTCCATGCAGAGGCCATAGCTGTTCTCCCACACGCCTAAGTCGGACATTTGCGATAGGACGCTCAGCTTGCCCCACCCGAGTCCGAACACACCGTCGGGCACCTCGGTGTAGCCCCCTAGCGCGCCCTTCTGGACCATGCCGCAGCTGAGAGGGCGGTGGGGGGGACGGGGGGGTGGGAGAGGGGTTGGGGCGAGAGATGGGAGGAAAGAGTTGGGTTTGAGACGAGGCTCGGCTTGCCCACCTGAAGCCGGAAAACACCTTCAGGCACCTCGGTGTAAACCCCTAGCGCGCCCTTCTGCACCATGCCGCAGCTGAGAGGGCGGTGGGGGAAGGGGGAGGGAGAGAAGAGGGGGGGATAAGGGGGGGTGGGAAAGGGGGTGGGAGAGAGGAGGGATAGAAAGAGGGAGCTGGGTTTGGAAAGGAGGCTCTGCTTGCCGTACCAGAGACTGGAAAACACCCGCCTGTTGCCTCAAAGTGTACCCGCGCCTCTAGCGCGCGTGCTTTTCTGGACCATGCCACAACCGATTGATGGGAAGAGGGAGGGAGGAAAGAGGGGTGGGAGCACGGAGATTAGTTTTGAGATACCTTCTTTAGAATTTCAGAAGGAATGCAGAGCCTGAGAGTGCTTCGGCAGCAGCATGCCACAAAAGGCAGCCCACCACTCCCACTCCCACTCCCACTCCCACTCCCACTCCCACTCCCACTCCCACTCCCACTCCCACTCGCACTCGCACTCGCACTCCCACTCCCACTCCCACTCCCACTCCCACTCCCACTCCCACTCCCACTCCCACTCCCACTCGCACTCGCACTCCCACTCCCACTCCCACTCCCACTCCCACTCCCACTCCCACTCCCACTCCCACTCCCACTCCCACTCCCTCTCCCACTCCCACTCCCACTCCCACTCCCACTCCCACTCCCACTCCCACTCCCACTCGCACTCGCACTCGCACTCGCACTCGCACTCCCACTCCCACTCCCACTCCCACTCACCCCATTCCCACTACAACCCCTCCCCCCTTTTCCCCCCCCCCTCCTCCCCCCCTCCACACTCACCCGACAACCAGCTCGGGGCTGACGGTCCAGCCGTCCATGTGCGTGAGCCAGACGTTCTCCTGGTAGAAGATAAACCTTTCCCCGGACCTCACACCCACTCCCTCCCCCCCCCCCCCCCACCTCCTCCCCCTCCTCCCCCGTCCCAACTCCCCCACCACCTCCAGCACTCACCCGACGACGAGCTCGGGGCTGACAGTCCAGCCGTCCATGTGCGTGAGCCAAACGTTCTCCTGGTAGAAGATGCCGTAGCTCTTGCCCACCTTGGTCCCATCCTTGTTCGGTAGGCTGCCGATGGACCCCAGGGGCGACCGCACGATGGTGTGCAGGTGCAGATACTCGCACTTGCCCTTGCCCAGGGCTGACGGGATCTGGTCCGCTACCTGGGGGGCACAGCGGAGGGGAGGAGGGTTGAGGCGGAGGGGGGAGGCGGAGGGGGGAGGGGAGTGCGGGAAGAAAGAATTTGTCGAGGAAACAGAGAAGAGAAAGACGGGGGGGAGGGGGGGGGGAGGGGGGGAGAGAAGAAGAGAAGAGGGGCGGAGTGGGGAAAGAGGTACATGAGGTATTCTCCTCGTCCTTGTTCGGCAGGCTGCCGATGGACCCCAGGGGCGACCGCACGATGGTGTGCAGTTGCAGGTACTCGCACTTGCCCTTGCACTTGCCCTTGCCCAGGGCCGATGGGACCTGGTCTGCCACCTGGTGGTGGGAGGCGCAGAAGGGGGGGGGGGAAGGGGAGGAGAGTAGAGAGCAGGGGAGACGAGCGGAGAGAGAGCGAGGGTATGGACAGACGTGAAAGAGGGGGAGGTACCCTTGCCCTTGCACTTGCCCTTGCACTAGCCCTTGCACTTGCCCTTACACTTGCCCTTGCACTTGCCCTTGCACTTGCCCGTGCACTTGCCCTTGCACTTGCCCTTGCACCTGCCCTTGGACTTGCCCTTGCACCTGCCCTTGCACTTGCCCTTGCACTTGCCCTTGCACTTGCCCTTGCACTTGCCCACACTCCAGGCGCACGCCCCGCCGGGGCGAGCAGCATACCTGGCAGCCGATCTTGAGGCCGGGCGCGGGGCGGTCCGTGTTGTTCTTGCATGTGTCCACGGTGCACAGCACTACCGTGGCTCCGTTCTCCTTAGTGTTGTACGGCGGCCGCTCCTGCAACCACAGCACATGGGAGGGGGGCGGCAGATGGTGGACGGACCCGGGATGGCATGCAATAGCATGGTGGCATGGGATGCCATGGCATGGCATGGCATGACATGGGATGGGATGTCCGTAGCAAGTGGAATGCGTGAGAGGCATATGCGGAATGGATGAATTGCAGATAGCATGGCACACAGCAGCAGCAGCAGCAGCAGCAGCAGGGGGCACGTACGGGGATGATGGTGCCGGCGGTGCGGCAGGTGGCGGGTGTGACGCAGTCGCAGGTGAACCAGGTGACGGGCGTCAGGTTGTCCAGGCGCAGGTAGAACAGCTGCTTGCGCGGCCCCACGTTCAGCCCTACGAAGTACGACGACCTGATTGCGGGGGGGGAGAGAGGAGGGACGGGGGGAGAGAGGGGAGAACAGAGAGGGGGGAGTGGGTGGGAGGAGGGGGGGAGGGGGGAAAGGGGGAGAGACGGGAGAAGTGAGAGGGGGGAGTGGGAGAGGGGGGAGAGCGGACAGACAGGATAGAGAGGAGAGGATCATTACTGGGAGAAGGGCCCCAAACTTCCTGTTCCCCCCACCCCCCTGTTCCCCCCAACCCCCTGTTCCCCCCACCCCCTGTTCCCCCAACCCCTGTTCCCCCCAACCCCTGTTCCCCCAACCCCCTGTTTCCCCAACCCCCTGTTCCCCCAACCCCCTGTTCCCCCAACCCCCTATTCCCCCAACCCCCTGTTCCCCCAACCCCTGTTCCCCCAACCCACTGTTCCCCCACCCCCCTGTTCCCCCAACCCCCTGTTCCCCCCAACCCCCTGTTCCCCCAACCCCCTGTTCCCCAACCCCCTGTTCCCCCAACCCCCTGTTCCCCCAACCCCCTGTTCCCCCAACCCCCTGTTCCCCCAACCCACTGTTCCCCCCACCCCCCTGTTCCCCCAACCCCCTGTTCCCCCCAACCCCCTGTTCCCCCAACCCCCTGTTCCCCCAACCCCCTGTTCCCCCAACCCCCTGTTCCCCCAACCCCCTGTTCCCCAACCCCCTGTTCCCCTCCGGCCCAAGTGCCTCATGCGCCCCTGTCCCACCGGTTGAGGCTGAAGGACCCGTCTCGGAGCAGCTTCTGGCACTTGCGCAGCTTGGGCGCGGGGGTCACTGCCTGCGTCGCCGCCTGGCGGGGGGGAGAGGCGCAGGCAGCAAGGGCCGGGAGAGGGGGGGTGGGGGGAGGGAGGGGGGAGAGGGATTGGTGCGAGCAGGGGTGGGAGGGGCGGGGGGAAGAGACGGGACAGAAGGGGAGGCGGGTGGTGTGGGGATGTGTGGGGCATGAGTGAGGGAGGGTGTGGCCTTATGGCATGACGTCTATGCGCGTTACATCTTGTATTTCCTCCAATCTCGGGCACCACAGCTCACCATGCCACCCGGTCGCTACCATACCTCTCTCTCACCATGCCTCCCGCTCACCATGCCCATTGCACTGACGACATGTCTCGACTCCTCATGATACCGGCTCACAGCAGCACCAGCACCCGCAGCACCCGCAGCAGCAGCGCCAGCCCCCCCGTACCACCCCGTCACCACCTCCTCCTCCACCTCCTCCGCTATCCGCCGGCCACTTCCCCGCTCCGCTGCCCCCTCCCCCCCACACTGCTCCCCCCGGCACGCGTGCTGCTCGTGCTGCGGCGCACAGCGGAAAAGGCGGAGGGGGGAGCGGGGAGAAAGTGGGTGGGATTGGGAAGCGAGAGGGCGCTTGTGGGGTAAAAGGTAAGGGGGGGTGGGGGGGGGGAGTGGGGGGGGGGGGTTTGAGGGAGGGGGGGTTGAGGGGGGTGGGGGTGGGGGTGCGGGTGGGTGGGTAGCAGGTGCCTTGTGGGGGACAGCAGAGCGGGAAGGCAAGAAGGAGAAAGGGGAGTCATGTCATGGTGTTCTGACAGAAAAGATTTTTGAGGCGCCTCAAAAATGGTGTTCTGACAGAAAAGCAAGGGCAAGAGCACCTACCCGCACTCTCGGTTGTTCCACCGTGATTGCCGCATGCCCCAATTGATCCCATAGCGCGCCAATTACCGCCAGCAGCAGTAATGTCGGAAGCCGGTTCTTCGCAGAGCGGCGCATCGCAGTCATTGCGGAAGGGCGGAAGACCCTGCCTGGCTCGTCTCGCAGGGTTGAGATCTTGAGGGAGAGGCGGAACGGCGGACGGGCGGATGGGCGGACGGGCGGACGGGCGGACGGGCGGACGGGCGGACGGGCGGACGGGCGGACGGGCGGACGGGAGGACCGGCGGACGGGCGGAAGGGCTAGGAGCGGGGCCCGCCGGGGTAGTCGGGAGGGGGGGTTGGTAGTGGAAGGGTAGTCTACGACACGCAGGAACAGGAGCAATTTACGGTCGTGCGTGCGACGCCTGTGCCGTACGGCGACAACATGTGACGGGTATAAGTTAAGCGTAGCAGTGAAGCACTGGGATCCGGCTACGTGCGACAATGAGGAGTAGGTAATACGGCTGCGCGGGGCGAAGGAGCGAGAGATTGCTGGAACCACAGGAAGTGGACGGAGAAAGAATGGCGGGAGACGGGCTGTGATCGACGGACTGTGAGCGACGGACTTTGAGCGACGGACTTTGAGCGACGGACTTTGAGCGACGGACTGTGAGCGACGGGCTGCGAGCGAAGCTGGACAAAAACACGCACAGACACAGTCGCAGAGAATTCGCAGGATTAGAACCCACCACACGCCCGCACACTAGCCCCGGAACTACCTCGGCGGAAGTTCCCTACCCTACCCTACTCTCCCAACCGCTGCGCGCGACGGAGGGCGAGGCGTGCAGGGGAGGGCGGACGAGGTACGAGGGATGAGGGTGGGATAGAAGCGAGACTCATTGTCTGTGATGAGTGACGTCACAAGACACATGCAGGGACGTCGGTGATAAGTTAGCAGGTAGATGAGCAAGCCGTGGTCCGTCGCCTCGTCGCATCGCATCGCGCGCGACCTCACCCGTCGCTCGAAAGAGTCGATGTCACAATGAGGAGTCCGTCTTCGGGTTGGGGGGGGATGTAGAAAGGTGGTGAAGTCGTCTGAGAGTCAAGCTACATGTGGCGGAGGCGATCCAACAAGCATGCATCCATCCATGGTTACGCGGGGCTCGGAGAAGCCCCAGACTTCCATTTCCAAGTTCCAACCAGACCTGCACTGTACTGTTCTGTACACTCTTTTTGTCAGTTCGTTCGTCGTCAGTTGCGGCGGAGTGTGGTGGAGGGGTGGAGTGGGGGAGTGCAGTGGGGTGGAGTCAAGTTCGCTGCCTGCTTTCGCTGACGGCGAAAACCCTTACAGATCTGCATGTTCTGTTACAACTTACAGGTCCGTGCGAGGTTTCTCCTCGATTTCAGGAGCCAGTGGGGGCTTTGTTTCCGTGCTTCGAACCGACAAGACCTGCATTGGTGCTCTATTACGGGCAGACATAAGGGTTTTCACAGATGCCCACGCAAAATAATATATACAGCACATGCGGACCAGAAAATAGGGCTTGAGCGGGAGTGTTGAGATGGCCTTAGATACGATAGAGGGAGTAAGAGAAATCTTACGCGTTGCTGTAGCCTTTAGGGACGTTTGTGTCAGAAAATACTTTACTTGCTGTGAAGGGAATACTGCTGAGCTTCGGCAGGTGATTGCGACGACGTGCGATTGAAAACGCTCGGGTAACACACCAACCTGAACCGAGGTCAGGTCATGGCGAAGTTGTACAGGTCGCACCTGACAATCTCTGGAGCAGTAAGCAGGCACAGAAACTCATCACCGTTCACAGCCAAAAGCACACACACTGTACAGTGTGGCCTCACTTGATAACTCACTACAAATATGAAACTCCCTCAAACTCCTCGACATCAACGGTTTTGGTTCGGGGCGCAAGGAGTTGTAGGGCTCCCCTGAGATTTATAAGTTTATTTTTTCCATACAGGAAAAATACATTAAGCCTTTGAACTTAATTCAAATATTCAGCACATATAATTAGAACCAATTGTGCATTTTACCGAATCTAATTACGATTATGTGAAGCGTGGCCTTCTGTACTAGCCCCCCGCACCATCATCCAATCCACGCCATGTCATCGCAAACACGAGCCGTCCCCTGATCATCACGAAATAGCATCCAGCCAGCCATGCCCAGCGCCAACTCTCCCATGCTGAGGAGCGATGATTCTGCTCCTCATCATGGCCCCTCAGCACTGCAGTCTTGGAGAACCTTTTGCTACAACACCCATCCATCACCTGCCTCAAAAGGTGACGATGATGCTCAGGCCTCCATCTCCTGTCCTTAGCTCCATGACTAGCTCGGACCATAAAGCTAGCGATCGGCGCTAGGCTCGAAACAGGCGGCCGTACCGTAGATAAAAAGGATCAACTGAGCCGTGCGATCAGCCATCCAATCCCGTGTCCCTTGGAGGCTCGAGTGATGTGTCATTGCTGTCCTCCATATTGCTGATCTGATACTGGGTGAATGGCACCATCGCGATAAGCGCTAAAGATGGCGCATTTCGCCTCTGATCGCTACTCTCGCACGCAGTCTAGATCACCTATTCTCCCTCACATTGGCGGCGATCACCCACGCTCCACTGGCACACACGATCACTCCGCTGCTTCCAGTGACCATTCTCCGGCCGGCAATGCTCACCGATTCCCCTCCTCGCCACCACGTACGTAATGACTCGAGGGGCACGCGCGTAGAGGGTTTTAGCGGGGTTTCTAGGTGTTCAGAGGGGTTCCGGGTTTTCGGACATCTTTCATGCCTCCTGCCTGTTCGCATACGACATTTTTTTCGCATATGCCTCCTGCCGTGACATTTTGTTTTTTTTTGTTTTTTTTTCCCTCTGCTTGGGACATTGCCAGAGGAATAGGTAGCATACAGCCTGTTTCTCACCTCTATACCTCTTTCCACCGCTTACAACCATCCCCGCTTCCACCGCTTGCATTTTATTCTCCGCCATCCCTTCCCCCTTCTCCTCGTCCCCCTCCGCATTCCCCTCTCCCCAGCCCCCCAGGGTCGCGGCTCTTTCCAGCAGCGGGGACAGGTCGGGGGAAGAGGAGAGGGGGAGGCTGACAGAGGGCGCGCGCGCGATTTTGACAGGGGGGGAGCGGAAGGAGCGGAGCGAGGGTTTGGAGAAGAAGGCGGAAGGCGGTTTCGCTCCCGTAGCCCCAAGCGGGAGGAGGGGGGAGGGAATGCGCGCAGGCGGGCGTCTTGGGGAGGCGGAGCGGACTGGGAGGGGGGGCGAGGGGGAGGGGCGCGTGGGGAGGGTGGGGGTTGGGGGAGGGGAGATGGTGGTGAGTGGGGTGGTGAGGGTTATGAGGAGGTAAGAAGAGGTAAAGGAGGGAGAAATGGAGAAGGTAGGGCTGGGGGTGATGGAGGTATGGAAGATGGAGGGAGGGGTGAGATAAACGTGAGGGGAGGTAAGGGTTATTATAGCGGGAGGGGTGGAAAGGGTTATTATACCTGGAGGGCTGGAAAGGGGGATAACAGCGGGAGCGGAGAACAGGGCGATAGTATAGGGAGGGGCGAGGGGCAGAGTGGTTGGGGAGGTCGAGGAGGCAGCACCGTGCTTTTTAACAGCAGCGGTGGTGGCCGCGGCAACTCTGGCGTTGGTGCTGGTGGTGTTGCACCGCATGAGCCGCACCTACTGGGGGGCAGAGGCGGCATCGGGCTGCAGAGGGGCAGAGGCGAGGGGCGCGAGGGAATCGGGCGGCAGGCGCTGGAGGGAGGGCGAGAGACGTTTCTAGTTGGGGCCAGAGGCACCTTGGGCTCGCCGTGGGGGCGGGGTGAGGGGCGCGATGGGCCGGAGGGGCGGGAGGGACGGGAGGGGCGGGAGGGATGTGAGCGTATGGGGCGGATGCATGACGCTGGGAGGCATGAGGGTGCGCTGCAAGAGCGTGGCAGGAGTGATGGCCGCGAGAGGGAGGGCGAGGGATGGCGTGGCAGCAGCAGCAGGCAAGCCAGGAGGGGGGACGGAAACGCGCCACTTGTTGCTCCTCCTCCTCCTGCTGCTGCTGCTACTGCTGACCGTGGCGGTGTTGGCGCTTCTGCGAGTGCTGGGGAGAGAATGGCTGCTGCTGGTGATGATGGTGGCATAGGGAGGGGCAGGGACAGCAAGCCGTCTGCTGATTTCTACGCACTGACGAGGTTGCACGAGGAGGGCTTTTATCTAAGCCGCGAGGAGTACTTTATGGAGGATGATGAGCCCCTGGCGCGGGGAGGGAGGCATGGGGTGGTTAGGACTGGGAGAGAGAGGAAGCTTGGCGTGTTTGAAACCAGGGGGCGTAGGGAGGAGAGGAGTGTGAGTACGGAGGGGAGGGAGGGTGGGGTTTGCAGAGAGGGTAGGGAGAGGGAGGGCGAGAGGCAGAGGGAGGATTGGCAAACGGAGCAGGGGAAGAGGAGGGGTGAAGAGGAGGAGGTAGGGAGGTCAGGGAGGGGACATGAGGAGAAGGTACGTGAGTATGGCAAGCAGAGAGAGGGGAGGATGGAGCGGCGGCACAGCGAGAGGGAGTCTGAGAAGGGGCGCGAAAGAAGGGATGGGGAGAAGAGGAGGGATGAGGAGAGAGGGGATGAGAAGAGAGGGGGTGAGAGGAGAAGGGATGAGAAAATGGGGGATGAGAGGAAGGGGGATGAGAAGAGGGGGGATGAGAGGAGAGGGGTTGAGAAGAGGGGGGATGAGAAGAGGGCGGATGAGAGGAAGGGGGATGAGAAGAGGGAGGATGAGAGGATAGGGGTTGAAAAGAGGAGGGATGAGACGAGGGGGGATGAGAGGAGGGGGGATGAGAAGAGGAGAGATGAGAAGAGGGGGGATGAGAAGAGGGGAGATGAGAAGAGGGGGGATGAGAAGAGGGGAGATGAGAAGAGGGGGGATGAGAAGAGGGAGAATGCGAGTAAGGATCATGGGAGGAGGGTAGCTGAGAGTTCGACAGCAGCAGCTGACGCCCACCACTTGTCTTCACGTACTGACACCCATAGGCACGCCCATCCGCACGCCCATCCGCATGCACACGCACACGCACATGTACATGTACATGTACATGACAACGGAAAGGGAAAGGACGTGAGGCAGTCAGCCAACAAGCATCATCGGTTTCCCAAAGACGAGCACGCCACCACTGCCGCCGCCACTGCTTCTGCTGCCTCTGCTCCTGCTGCTAGAGCTCTCGCTACCCCTACTGCCACATCTGCTGCGCTGGCAGGCACAACCAAGGGCACCGAACCCACTGATGCCACCAAGTCAAGACCCACCGTCAATTGGACTCCATCTGCCAGTGCGCCTGCCACCACTGCCGCCTCACACCCTCAGCGCACACCTGCTGCTGCTGCTGCTGCTGCTGCTGCCACTCGCGCCTCCACTCCCACTCCCTCAGCCTCCTCCCCTCCAGATCCTAAGTCCACATCTCGACCTGGCCCAGTCCCTGCCCCTGCCCCTCTACCTCACTCTCGACCTGCTACCCAACCTCCTCCCTCGGCTTCTGTCCCCGCTGTGCCCCCTGTCCCTGCGCCTGATACTCCCTCCGTCCCTGCTAATTCCTCCGCACCTGCAGCACCTCCCGCACAAGGCAGTGAGTGCAAGCCCAATCCGCGCAAGTGCAAGAGGCGATGTGCATTCCAGAGGGGAGAGGGGAGGGTGTCAGAGCCAGCAGCCCCTCGCGACCAGCACGCAGCGCTCAGTGTAGGCGTGGCGTCGCAGTGGGCACAGGCGCTTGAACGAGCCAAGAGCAAGGAGCAAGCTCGTGCTCTTGCTGCTCATCCTGCTGCTGCTGCCGCTGCAGCCACCGCCGCTGCTGCTGCTACTGCTGCTACTGCTGCGAAGGCTACTGTTCCTGCTGCTTCTGCTGCTGCTGCTGCTTCTGACGCCGCTTCTGCTGGTAATGGAAACGCAGCAGATCGAGATAAAACACATGCAGGGCGTTCTTGTGTACAGCAGACAGTGGACGCAGTAGCAACAGAGACAGGCGCAGCAGCAGGAGCAGCAGTAAGAGCAGCAGAAAGAGCAGCAGATACAGGAAATGCCTCTTGTAACATGCGTGCCAGTGCCAGTGCCAGTGCCAGTGCCAGTGGCACTCCGCTCCTCCCTGTGTACGTGGATCGCGGGGGGATGAGGGGAGCAACAAACCTGGCAAAGCCGCAGGAGCGTGTAGCAGTGGCGGGTATGTATGCAGCGGCAGAGGCACTGGGGGCGGAGGCAAGGTGTGCGTCGGCACCCCATGAGGTGAAAGGGGAGGTGGGGGTTAGGAGAGAAGAGGAGGGCCTGCAGGTGGAGAGGGGAGAGGAGAGGAGGGATGAGAGGAGGGATGGCAAGGGGAAGAGGTCAAAAAAGCGGAGGCTTAGGATGAGACAGAAACATGAGGAACGCGAGGAGAGTAGGGATGCCGGGGGGGGGCAGTGCGGGTTGATTGCTGTGGGTGAGGCTGTGGGGGCGGAGGCGGAAGGGTGGGGGAAGGGGGAAGGGGAAAAGGAGGCGGAAGGGGGGGGGGAGGGGGAAGCGGAAAAGGAGGCGGAAGGGGGGGAGGATGGAGGGAGGGTGGTGAAGAGTAAGAAGAGGAAGGGAGGGAAGCCAGATAGACGAGAGGATGGGAAGGAGGAGGGGAAGACAGAGGGGAGGGAAGAGGAAGCTGAAGAGACGGCACATGCGAAGAAGAAGAGGAAGAAGAATGGGAAGGGTAAGGTTAAGGGTGAAGGGCTTGAAGAAGGGAAGGAGGAGAAGAACGTGGGAGTATGTTGGAAGCGAGAGGAGGAAGGATGGCAGGGAGGGAGGCTGGGTAGGCCGCAGGAGAGGCGGAGGGAGACAGTCGGAGTGAGCGAGGATGGGGAGCAGTTATTGAATCAGATGCGGGAGAAGAAGAAGAAGAAGAAGAAGAAGAAGTGGAGGAAGAATCGCCATGGGAAGAAGGCGAGACGGGAGGAGGAAGTGGAGGAAGTGGAAGATCAGAGGAGATTGGAAGTAGACAAGGGGGATGATTGGTGTGACCAGGAGGAGAAGGAGGGCTTGGACGAGAGGGAGGGTGGTTCTGAGGAAGTAAGGGAAGAGGTGGAGGAAGAGGAGGAAGAAGAGGAAGAGGAGGAGGAGGAAGAAGAGGAAGTGGAGGAGGGAGAGGAGGAGGAGCCAGAGGAGGAGGGGGGGGAGGAGGAGGTGGAAAAAAACTGTGTTACCAACGAAAAGAAGCAGAGAAAAAAGAGCAGACATAAGTTGAGACGAGAGGTACATGTGGGGGACGAAGAGGTGGTGGAAGAGAGGGAGGAGGAAGAGGAGGAAAAGGAGGTAGAGGAGGAAGATGATGAGGAAGAAACTGCAGAAGTGGAGGTAGAGGAAGAGGAGACGGAGGAAGAAGCAGAAAGGGAGGAAAGGGAGGAGGAAGCGGAAGAGGAGGAGGAAACGGAAGAGGAGGAAAGGCAGCGAGCAAGCATTATTGACATGGGGACAAAGCGGAGAATTGGGGAGTCTCATGGCAAAAGAAATGGGACAAGGGAAGATGACTACTCAGTTCCTGCCAAGCAAAAGAAGCCAAATTCTCACGGCGATGGTGGGGGAAGAGTGGAAGGAGTACAGGGCGAAAGGGTGATGGAGGAAGGAGGAAAGAGCGCCAAAGCAAAGTGCAGTGAGAGGAGGGAGAAGAAGAAGGCAGGGAAGGGAGAGCCGCCGGAGGGGTTTTTGAGAGGTGATAGTCCTGCTGGTGAAGGGGGGAAGGAAAAGGGAGAAGGGAAGGGGAGGCAAGGGGAGGTGCGTGTGGTTGGAGATGGGGTGGTTGACGAGAGGAGGAGGTGGAGGGAGGAAATGAGGGGAAAGAAGACGAAGAAGAAGAAGAAGGAGAAGAAGGAGAAAAAGAGAGGGAAGGACAGAGCGGCAGCAGCTGATGAGACTGGAGACGGTGGTGCTGCTGCTGCTGCTGCTGCTGCTGCGGAACTTGAATGGGATGGTAGTAAGAGCAGTGGTGGTGAGAGCATTGGTGGTAATATCAGCACTGCTAAGGCTGATTGTATTGGTGGTACCGGTGCTAGCTGTGCCGATAAGGATCACAGTGGTGATGGTGGGGGTGATGGGGTTGATGGGCGTTGGAGGGATGCTGCTGCTGTGGCTGGTGATGGCCAGAAGTTGGTGCGAGAAGGATGGAGGGAGAAAAGGGCGAGGCGGACGCGAGAGTGGATCCGCCTCCAACGAGAGACGAAGAGGGCAGAGGCAGCTGCCGCAAGAAAGGCAGAGGAGGAGGGAGCGAGAAAGGCGAGGGACGACGGAGCTGCAGACGCAGCAGGAGGAGGAGGAGAGAAGGAGGAGGGGGAGGAGGGGGAGGAGGGGGAGGAGGAGGGGGAGGCGTTTGTGGGATCGGAGGAGGATTGGGGTTCCGAAGAAGAGGAGGTGGGAATTGACTTGTCGCTGAACGTGATGGGTGCAGTCAAGGGAGTGAAGGGGATTGCAGAGAAAGGGAAAGAGGAGGAGCAAGAGGAAGCGGCGAGAAAGGCTCTTGACGATGCAGCAGAGAGAGAGATTGAGGAGGAGGCTACACTTGCGGCGCTGCTGCTGAGCCAGGGAGGGCTACGAGGGGAGAGGGCAGAGAAGGGAGCGGAGGGAGGCCGGCGGGAGAGTAGGAGGAAGAGGAGGGAGAAGCAGAGGAGGCGGGTGTTGTGGGAGAGCATGGGAGGGAGGAGTGTGGAGAAGAGGAAGGAGAGTGAGGGAGATAAGAGTGGGAAGAGGTTGACAGAGACTGAGAAGGTTGAAGGAGGGGAGATGAAGAGTGGTGGATGGAGGCAAGGGGAGGAGGAAGGGGAAGGCGAGGAAGGGGAGGTAGGGGAGGAGGAGGAGGATGAGGAGGAGGTAGAAGGGGAGAAGGAGGAGCGCGAGGATGAGCATGAGCAAGTGAAGGGAGAGGATGGAGAGGAGGAAGAAGAGGAGGAGGAGGAAGAAGAGGAGGAGGAGGAAGAAGAGGAGGAGGAGGAAGAAGAGGAGGAAGAGAGTGAGCATTGCGAGGATGCGAGAGCGAAGGTGGTTCTGGGGGAGAGTGTGGAGGAGGAAGAAAGTGAGGAGAGTGAAGAGGAGGTAGAGGAGCAAGAGGAGGAGGAAGAGGAGGAAGAGGAGGAAGAGGAGGAAGAGGAGGAGGACGAGGAGGATGAGAAGGGAAGCAAAGCAATGGCCTTGAAGCCAAAGAAAGAAGCAGAAGCACAGCCCAGGACAGCACAGAGCATGACAGGGAGAACAGGAAGCAGGGGGGTGGGTGAACAGGAAGCGCTGATGGGAGTAGATGGAGGTGTGCTGAGGAGGGGTGTGAAGGAGGTTGGAGAGAAGGACCTAGGGGGAGATGGCAAAGGGGGGAGTGAGAGTGAAAAGAGCAGAAAAGAGAGTGAGGAGTGTGAGAGTGAGAAGGAGGGTGAGAGTGAGCAGGAGAGTGAGGAGAGTGAGAGTGAAAAGGAGGGTGCAAAGGAGAGTGAGAGTGAAAAGGAGAGTGAAAGGGAGAGCGAGAGTGAAGAGGAGAGTGATGGCAAGCATGGCAAAAAGGGGCAGGAGAACAAGGAGCAAGAAAGGGAGACGGAGACAGGGAAAGAGGAGAGTAGTGAGGAGGAAGAGAGTGGCGAGGAGGAGGCAACGAGTGAGGCGGAGAGCAGTGAAGAGCAGGAGGAGGAGGAGGGGGAGGGGGCAACCACGGGTGGTGCCACTGCAAGAGACGCATGTGAGGGCAGCGAGCACCGTCTAGCAATAGTGCCCGTCCATTCAAGCCCTCTGCAGCTGGTGCCGAGCGGAAGCTCTGATCAGAGTGCAGGTGCTGCTGATGTGCGCTCACAGGGGGAAGTGAAGGAAGATGGGAAAGAGGAGGAGGAGGTGGGAAGAGAGGAGAGAGGGGGTGGGGGCTGTGTGAGGGCAGAAGCAGGGGGTGGGGGTGGTGAGAGTGGTGGGAGTGGTGAGAGTGTGGTGCAGAGGAAAGCTGTGGTTGCAGCGGTGGAGGGGAGGGGAGACGGCGGGAATGACAGGGCCGCTGCTCCCCACAACTCCGTACTACCCACCAACATGCTGCATGACAACGTGCCTCAAGACAACATGCCACCCACCGACACGCCACACTCTACTGTGATGTCGGCCCCATCCTCACTCCCGTCACCCCCTCCTCCTGGTCCCCGCCAGCTCATCCCCGTCCGCATTCGCCCTCCGCGTCCAAACCTCATCGGTCGCCTCGAATACAGGAGAGACAGCAGGTGCAACTTTAACATGCCACCGCAGCCAAAGGGGCGGCAAGCCCAGGAGAGAGAAGCGGCGGCACGGGACAGAGTCGCTGCGATCCAGCGCGGCGTGAAGGACAAGCTGAAGGTGCTTGCAAGCGAGGGCGTGGAGAGGGGGAGGGCGTTGCGCCCACAGGAGCTCTGGCAAAGCGTGTGGGAGGATGAGGAGGTGGTGCGGTGGAGCACGGAGCGCAAACAGTTCTGCGGCGTGGGGCACCTGCCCGGGGTGCCGCTGGGCATGCAGTTTGTGTGGCGGAAAGAGCTGGAGCTGCTAGGGATGCATATGAAGTGCTTGCGTGATGTGGATTGGGCAGAGGCGAAGAGCTGGGCGCTGGGAGAGGAGTGGAAGGGGCAGGGTGGGAAAGGTCCAACCGTGGCCACGTGCATTGTGCATAAGGTTGGGGGCTCGGGAGGTCGTGGTGGTGGCGGTAGCCACAGCAGTGGTGGTGGTGGTCGGAATGCTGCTCTTTTGGGCAAGCAGGGATGGGGCAAGAGAGCTAGGTGGCAGCAGCAGCAAAAGACCAAGAGCAAGGCAATGCGATGCAAATCATGGGAGGATGATGAGGAAGAGGAAAAGGGGGGGGAGGAAGAGGAGGAAGAGGAGGAGGAGGATGAGGAGGAGGAGGAGGAAGAAGAGGATGACTATGGAAGCGAGGGAGGGGAAGGGAAAGAGGCGGCGGACTTGTACCCTGCAATATGGTTCACGCTATGGGGGTTCGACTGGGAGACCCGGCAGTACGAGAGCCAGGCGCATGCCCCAGGGAACAGGGCTCTGCTGCACAGTGCTGTGGCGGGGCTGCCTGTGCGTGTGGTGCTGGAAAGGGAGTGGCAAGGGCGAGGGACGGACACACAACACCAGAGCCCGCAGCAGAGGCAGCAGCAGCGGCAGCAGCAGCGGCAGCTGCGCAACACAAGGGCCCGATTGAGCAGAGACAGAGGTTCCCCTCTTCCTGCTGCTGCTTCTGCTGCTTCTGCCGCTGCTGCTGTTGCTGCTGCTGGTGGTGGCGTGGCATTTGGGTCACCTGCAGCAGAGAGTGGGGGGGAGGCCAATTGCAGTTACATGTATGCGGGGCTGTACCATGTGGGGCGAGTGGAGCATGGACGCAATGACAAGGGCAAACCGGAGCTCCGATACTTGCTGTTCAGGCTTCCTGGACAGGGGAGTCGGCCTGTGGCTGGTGGTAGAGGTGGTGAAGAAGAGGAGGGAAGTGAGGAGGAGGAGGAGGAGGAGGAGGAGGAGGAGGAGGAGGAGGATGGTGAAGAGGAGGAAGAGGAGGAATCGGACGGTGAGAGTGAGCAAATTCAGGGGAAAAAGAAGCGCAAGGGAAGAGGCAGAGCAGCAGCAGCAGCAGCAACAGCAGGGAAATTAACAGCAGACAACGACGACATGGGAAACGTGGTGTGGGTGGCAGGGGAGGGGGATAGCTCGTGGCAATGGCAACTGGTGGCATGCGATGGGCGTGTGCACTGCGCTTTGAGCAGAGAGGTGGTGGCTGTGATGGAGCAAACCAAGGAAGGTAGAGCCCTCCTGAACCTGGCTCACTGGCTAAAGTGGGACGGAGCGAGGGGGAGCGGGGAGAGGGGAGAGGAGGGGGGAAGGAGAGGGAAGGGTGGTGCGAGAGCATGTGGTGTGAGGGGGGCAAGGGGGGAGGTAGGTGGTGTAAGTGCGGAGGGGGGGGATGGAGTGCGAGTGGAGGGAAGGAAGGGGAAGAAGGGTGTAGGTGGTAGTCGTTTGGGTGGTAAAGATGGGCGGGGAGAGAGGAGTGAGATGGGGGAGGGAAGTGGAGTGGGTGCTAGTGGGTTTGAGGTGCCAGAGCAGTGTGAGGGGAGAAGAAGGATAGGAGAGGATGAGCATGGAGGGGACATGCACATATCATCATCATCCCGTGCTGCTGGCATGCGGGGTGCAGGCAAGGCTGAAAAGCGTGCACGTGTGAGTGAGAGTGTGGCAGAGGGTGTGAGTGAGGGAGAAGTCGGGGGAGGGGTGCAAGGGAAGGGAGCGGAGTGCAGGTTGAGAGGCGGAGAGGGGGCAAGAGTGAAAGAGGAGGAGGTGGAGGAGGCGGGGAGAGGCTTGGGTGTGGAAGGGGTTGTGAGTGGATCGACAAGGGGAATGAGGGATGGGGAGAGAGTGAGGGCGGATGAGAGCAAGGGAATGGGAAAGAAGGGAGAGAAGGGAGAGAAGGGAGAGAAGGGAGAGAAGGGAGAGAAGGGAGAGAAGGGAGAGAAGGGAGAGAAGGGGGAGAAGGGGGAGAAGGGGGAGAAGGGGGAGAAGGGGAAGAAGGGGGAGAAGGGGGAGAAGGGGGAGAAGGGAGAGAAGGGGGAGAAGGGCAATGAGAAAGCATTGGAAGAGGATAGTGAAGAGGAAGGAGGTGAGGGGGAGAAAGGGCGAGAGATGGACGAGAAAGAGAGTGCTGAAGATGAGAGTAAAAATGTAGACTTGAAAGCCATGAAGGCAAAGCCAAGTGATACAGAGGAGTCTGAAGAGGAGGAGGGGGAGGAGGAAGTAGAGGAGGAGGAGGAAGAAGAAGAGGAGGAGGCGGAGGAAGAGGAGGAGGAGGAGGAGGAGGAAGAGGAGGAGGAGGAGGAAGCAGAGGACGTTGAGACGGAAGCAGAGAGTGTGATGTATGAAAGTGAGAGTGAGGAGAGCGAGAAAGGCGATGAGAGTGAGGAGGAGGAGGAGGAGGAGGAGGAGGAGGAGGAGGAGGAGGAGGAGGAGGAGGAGGAGGAGGAGGAGGAGGAGGAGGAGGAGGAGGAGGAGGAGGAGGAGGAGAAGGAGGAGGAGGAGGAGGAGGAGGAGGAGGAGGAGGGCGGTAGTGACAGCAATGGGGAAAACGACAGTGACAGCTACGAGAGTGAGAGTGAGAGTGAGAGTGAGGAGAGCGAGGATGGGAGTGAGGGGTATACGCGAGAGGCAAAGAGTGCAGGCGGATTAGAGGTAGTACAGAAAGGCGATGCAGCTGCTGCTGGGAACGCTGCAAATGCTTCCAGTACTGGCAATGCTGCAAACGCTGCTCGTGCTGAAGAGCTTCCAAAGGCGTCTACTGCTGGTGCTGGTAGCCTTGTGGTGTCGGGCCTTGCAGTGCCCGTGCCTGACCCACCTGCACGTGAGGGCTCTGCTGTCATACTCTTGCTCGTGCCTGATGCTGCAGCCTCGCCTGCAGGGAAGGGACGACGAGGGGAGGTGGAGGAAGAGGAGGAGGCGGAGGAAGAAGAAGAGGCTGAAGGGGAGGATGAAGAGGACGAGGAAGAGGAGGAAGACAACGGAGATGAGAGTGAAGAGGATGAAGAGGTCGAGGAAGAGGAGGAAGAGGATCTGGCTGCTACGAAAACAGCAAAAGAGGGGAATACTGGTAACAAAGATGAGGAGGAAGAGGAGGAGGAGGAGGAAGAGGAGGAAGAGGAGGAGAAAAATGAGGAGGAAGAGGAAGAGGAGAAAGGAGAGAGTGAAAGCGACGAGGAGGAGGAGGAGGAGGATGTGGAAACGGCTGTGACAGGGGTGGTAGGGTCACGTAAGAAAAAGGTAAAGAGGGGTGAAGAGGAGGAGGACGGCGGCGAGGAGGAGGAGGAGGAGGAGGAGGAGGAGGAGGAGGAGGAGGAGAGGAGGAGGAGGAGGAGGAGGAAGAAGAAGAGGCAGAGGAAGAGGAGGAGGAGGAAGAGCAGAAGGAAGAGGCGGAAGAGGAAGAGGAAGAAGAGGAAGAGGAAGAGGCAGAAGTGGAAGAGGAAGAGGCAGACGAGGAGGACGCAGATGAGGAGGAAGACCAAGAGGAAGTGGAAGAGGAAGAGGAAGAGGAAGAGGAAGAGGAAGAGGAAGGGGCAGAGGCAGAGATGGGCAAGTCAAGTGCCAGGAGTAAGAGCCGCCACAAGGAACGAGGAGAGAGCCGTGGCACGAGGGACGATGGGCAGGGGGCGAAGGAGAAGCAGAGAAAGACAAAGACGAAAACAAGCACGCAGCAGCAGCAGGCGGCGGAGGAGGAGGAGGAGGTTGGAAGTAAGAAACGAGAGGATGCCGATGTGAGAGGAAGAAGTGAGGGGATGGAGGCGGGCAAGAAGAAAGGGGAGACAGGGCCACGAAAGGGAGCTGCGGGTGAGGACGATGCTGGAAAAGAGAGAGGAGATACGGTGGTGGAGAAAGCAGAGGAGGTTGAGGGGGGTGCGAGAGGTAGTGCGAACAGAGTGGGCCGTGGTGCTGGGAAGCAGTTGAACGGGAAAGAGGAGAGGGTGGAGAGGAAGAGAGGGAAGGTGAAGGAGCAGGAAGATGGGGGGTTTGCCAGGGATGGTCACAGTAGCAAGCACGATGGGGCAGGGCAGAGTGAAAGTGGTGTTGGGAAGAAGAAGAGTGGGCAGAAGAGTGGGGGAAGAGACAGGAATGGTGAGGATGGTGAAGCAGGGAAGAAGGAACAAGCAGAAGGGAAGGAGGAGGAGCCGCACTGGGAGGAGGATGAGGAAGAGCATAGGGAGGGGAGGGCGGTTGAGACTGCGAAGAAAGGGAGGTCAAGGACAGAAAAGAAAAGCGACAGGGAAAGGGAGAGGAAGAGAGAAGAGACGGGAGAGGAGGAAGGGGTGTCTGAGGCGCAGAGCGGGAGGAGTAAGAGGAAGAAGGGACTTGGGGCTGACAGGGATGAGGGAAAAGGGAGCAGGACAGAAGGTGTGAAGGCAGCAACAGGTGAAGCAGAAACGGCGAAGACGGAACGGCGGGGAGGAAGGAAAAGAAAACAAGAGCTGGAGGGGAAGGAAGATGGAGATAGGAGGGGCAGAGGGGGGCAGGTTGCATCTCCAGCGGATAGAAGAGGGAGGAGAGTAGAGGTGCCTGAGCATGGTGAGGAGGGGGTGCAGGCAGTGAGAGAAGATAGCGAAAGAAGAAAGATTGCAAGCATGGCAGGTGGGGATGTGGGGACAGAGACAAGAGGAAGCAGAGAGGGAGACCCGGCAGCGGTAATGGGCATGCCAGCAGGAGCTGGGACAGCAGCAGCAGCAGCAGCAGCAGCAGCGGCAGCAGGGGTGGGGCTGGGGGTAGCAGCAGTGTGGGGCAGTTTGAGTCATGGGGCGATGGCACATGCGATGCAGGGTCAGAACCATGATGGATCAGCCAGTGCGCCACATGGGCAGCCTCACGTTGGCCCATTTCCCTTTCACCCTCAGATGAATTCCTACGCAAGCCCCAATTGGCATAATGCTCAAATGGCTGCTTCTCAATTTGCTCCTCTTCCTCCCCCTCTGCACCCCAGCATGTTTCAGCAGCAGCAGCAGCAGCAGCAGCAGCAGCTCCAGCACCAGCACTTCCATGCTAGCTCTTTCCCTCCCCACTCCACCCCACCCCCTCAACCACATGTGCCAATTCCATATGGGATTTCTTCTGGCACAGCTCCTGGTGCTGTTGGATGGTACACGATGTATGTACCTATTCAGTCTGCCTTGGCTACAGCTGCTGCTGCTGCTGGCGGTGGTGCTGGCGGTCACCCTGGTGTCGATATGTTTGGTGCATCTCCTGTCAGCCAGAACTTCCGACCACCTTCACAGCACATGGGCCCCAGTCCCATCCAACTTGGACGCGGTGGTATTGCTTCTGGTAGTCAGCGACAATCAGGTGCAAGGCGCCAAGGACACAACACTAGGCAACAAAACTTGCCGCCATTCACGGCTGAGCGTAGTCCTCAAGGGCTGTTCGGTCATCCACAACCTCGCCATACCCATTTTGGCTGATAGCTCGACTTTGTTGTATGCATGATGATTTAGAGAGGTCAGCATATCCAAACCAGGGCTGTCGTTATCAGGGTATTTTACCCTGATACCCTGATTTCACAGGGTATTTTTTTGGCCAACCCTTAATTTTCAGGGTTGGGTTTTTTTTAACCCTAACCTCTTCAGGGCTGTATGTTTGTGAACACTGAAAATTTCAGGGTTTGCGTTATCCCAACACTGAGTTTTCAGGGAGTAACGCGTACGAACCCTGAATGCGACATCCATGTGGCTCACAATGCGGAAATTTAGGCGAAGTCCCCAATCTCCAGAGACATTCCCCTCCACACACAACAACCTACAAAAATTGGTGAAGTCCTCAAACATTCCCTCACACACCAAGCAACCCACAAAAATCGGCTAAGTCATGTGTCGTACATACATCCCCCCTACACCAGGCCTCAAAATAGCCGGGTGAAATGCCCTGATTGCCCTGATTTTTCCGGGTATTTTTCATGTTACTCTTAAAAATCCGACTTGTAATTTTTTTAAGGCTGATTCAAAAAGTGTTCGCCTTTTTTTACCCTGCTAGAACCAGGGTTGGGCGCCTCCCAGCCCTGAGGCGTCAGGGTAGAATGAAAATTACCCTGATACAGAAACTCCAAAGAGGCAAGATACGTGCCAGATTTTGTGCGAGTGATGCCCGCCACGCCACCGCCACGCCCCTCGTCAGTCCGAAGTTTGTTGCCCACCATCATCACATGCGCATGGGCACGTGTTGATGGTACCACCTCGTTGGCTTTGCGCCGCCTTACGATTGGTTAGAGTGGCAGCATTGTTTCCTCGCTGGGTGACAAGTTCGCGCGCCGACAGTGAATGCTGATGCATGCAGCAACTTCACAGGTTTTTTCCTGTGAGCTGAGCGGTCCCAAACGAGGCTCTTGACTGCACACCTTTTGTGTCTCGCAAAACGCCCTTCTTCTCCATACGTTTCTTCCAGAAACCATGCCCCCTGACTTGCAACGAGCATTCCCTCACCCAGTAGAGTTTCGAGTAGCTGGATCGTCCTTCAGCCATGGCGCTCGATGCTGCCGATCCTCCTGACCCTCCCCCACTGAATGGACTCAGCGTTCTTGGGGTTTTCCCCCTCCTCCCGCCGCGTAGAGTTGCGCCTTCCCCGCCGCGCAATCCCTCGCTCGACAAGCGTGCACCCCCTCCGCAACAGTTTCTTTTTGAGCCAACGTCCCCACCTTGCTCTTCTCATGCTGCTGAGGCGATCGACCTCAACCTGTTGCACAGCGAAGGCACTTCTGGCGAGGCACCAGAAGTTGCTGAGTCTGTCGCCACCGCTCCCGCCAAGAGGAAGGACTGCGGACCATGGACTCAGCGTCGGCTTCCTTGGGCACCACCGCCGAAGAAGCCGGCTGCACCGCCTACTCCTCCGCCTGTTGCTCCTACTCCGCCCCAGAATCCCGCTTCTCATGTCGACGCGGAGTATGAGGTCGTGAATCGTCGCTTCGTGGACGACTGGTCACGACGCTTCCCGTGGCTCCGACTTACTCGTATGAAGAACGGCCGACCTGCCCTCAAATGTGCCCTGTGTCTCCAGTACGGTGATGCTTTCTCCAACACTTCATATGGCAGGAAAGGAGAGGGTGCGCGCGATCTCCAGGTGGGCAGCATCCGAATCCACATTGGGACACGTGCTCACAAGGCGGCTGTCAAGGCGCAGCAAGAACGGGAGAAAGAGACGGATCAGCAGAAGACGCTAGACCGATGGGCGGTGACAGATGCATCGACGAAACATCTCATCCGGTGCTTCCATATCGCCCTTTTTGTCTGTAAGGCCGACGCGCCCATCACGATGTACGTGGCGCTTTGCTACTTCCTCGTGTCCGAGGGCTTACCCGATCTCCCGCAGGGTCGGGCGTATGGGACCTACTACACGGAGTGAGTTTTGATATCCGAATCCCTCTTCTCCCGTCAATGCATTGCATGTCGCCGCAGACATCGAACGTTGCCGTAATTTCCTTGTATGTGTCCACTTGCTCTCCAACTTTCTTACCAGTAGCCTATCCATTCCCATCTCCCCCTACCAGTTATGGCTTCAAGCAAGGGACCAAGGCGATTTCCGAGTACCTGAAGGACGAGCAGCTCCACCACATCCTGAGCTCCCCGTTTGTCGGCATCGCCATCGATGAAAGCACGGACCGCGTGCACGGGAAGCATCTAATTCTGTATGCTACGTTCTTTCGTGGCAACTCGGTAGTCACAGAGTTTGTCACTCTGCTAACTGTCGAGCGGACCGATGCGGCGTCTCTGACGGCGGTTCTTCTACAGTACCTGCAGCACATCGGTCTCGACCTCCAGAAGATCGTCGGGATGGCTACCGATGGAGCATCGGTAATGACCGGTGTGCAACAGGGAGTGGTAACCCGCCTAAAGAGGCGGATTGAGCACCTGATGGCTGTTCACTGCATCGCCCATAGGTGGGGTGTTTTACTCGCTACCCTCATGTTTTCAGTAGAACGCTCCAAATCATTGCATCTGTTCTAGTGTTGTACTCGTTGACCGTATGCTTTTCCTCTGCTTGTCGGACTCATTGCTTTTTTGTGTTTAATCCACTCCTCCCGCCAGAGAGGCACTTGCGGCGAAGGATGCAGCCGCTGCTGTGGCCGAGCTACAGATCATCGACATGCTCATCCGTGCTTTCGCCGAGCTCGTCGGTCGCTCCAACAATCAGCACCTCAGCTTCATAAACTTCCAGCTGGTGTTTTGCAACACCAATCTAGAGATGCAAGGGATCCACGCCGTACGTTGGTTGTCGCGCGGAGAGGCGGTGATCCGCTTCGTCGAAGTGCTGCCGGCGGCCATCGTCTTGCTGCGTGATCACCCCAGCGGTCTTTTCGAGATTGTGACGTCGTTCAAGGTGCAGTTCATGCTGCACTACCTCGCCGACATACTGGAGGAGCTGAATCACCTTAACACCCGCTTCCAGCAGCGCCAGGTATGACACTCCTCTCATCGTTGAATGTCGTCAGTACCATGTGCTTGCATCTAGGCACTCAGTCATACTTTGCACGTTTATTTTGCATGTCGTTCATGGTGCCCTGTTTGCTTTGAAATTATCTCTGTGTTTTCGTTGCAGGTGGATCTCACAATCGTGGCCTCAGTGGTGGACAACACGTGCAACCGCATCACCGACCGCTACATCAAGTGCGGCGGTGGTCTCTTCTTCGGGAACGGCAGCGAGAGGCTTGGGAAATTCCTGGAGCGTCACGGGAGGCCCGACCAGCGCCGCGTGCGCGTTCAAGGCGTTGACTCGGAGGGGAATGCTCAGGCGTTCGAGTATGTGCTGCATGAGCGGATGGTGGAGGGGCACAACACCAAGAGCGACCTAGACTCCTGCGCCCAAGTCTGCCGGAAGCATGCAATCGATGTCGTCACCAACGTCCGTGCCCGCCTGAAGGACCTGGCTAACATGGAAGGATGCAAGCTCTTCAAAGCCAAGACCTACCCACGAGACGACGAGTTGCGCCTAGCGAGATGCAAGCAGTGGCTGAAGCAGTCCCACAACCTCTTCGATGGAAAGCTCCCAGGTGAGACAGATTTGTTCTCGATGATGCTGCCTGTCATCGATGCTTGCGTGTCCGTTCTTAGGCTGCAGTCCCCGCAATCCATTTGCAGCAACATTCGTTGCACATCTCCCCTCAAAGGCTTACTGTTTCCTATCCTTTGAATCCCAACCCCACCATCCTGTAGGCTTCGACTACAACAAGGCCGTCACGGAGCTGTGGGTGTTTACTGCTACCATGGTGTCGCAGTACAAAGATGACGAGTTTCAACAGGGGCTCACCTTGACTCTGGACAACAATGAGTGGTAGCGGAGCTACCCCAACATCCTCAAGCTGTGGCAGGCACTGGCGGTGCTCCCTCTCAGCACAGTGGAGTGCGAACGTGGTTTCTCGAAGCAAAATCTGATCAAGTCATGGAGTCGTGGGTGCCTTGGCGATGACAGCCTGGGCGACTTGATGCGGTGCTCGCTCCTGTGCTACCAGATTGACTGGTTTGATGTGGTAGCTGTTTTCCGAGGTGAGAAGCGGCGGCGGCCTCTGCGCGACTTGTGTTCTGCCAACCCAACTCCAGCTGCGGCTTCTGCAGATGCAGGCACCATAAGGACTGACCCTGACCCTGACCCAGTTCCACTAGAGGATCCTAGTGTGCTGTAGGTCGTGTGGTTGTGATTTTCCTTGCCTACGTTCCTAGTTCATGCTAATTATTTCCATATGTTAATTATTGACATGCAGTGTAGCTAGGAATATAGTGCATTTCATAACGTGAAACTGGGTTCTGCTTTTTTTACCCTGAGCACCCAGAGTGCCGAATGTTCTACCCTGCTGAATCAGACTTGAGAAAAATTGTACTCTGACCGGCAGGGTAATTTTTTTTTGGCACTCTGATTCCTAAGAGTGGCCTAAAACCAATTTTGAGGCCTGCCCTACACACCTAACAACATCCCACAAAAATTAGCTAAGTCTTGATAGGCAGTGACAGCACGAAAAAAAACAAAAAAAAAACGGCCTAGTCCTATTGTACACAAGTTATCCCCCCTCCCACACTCCCACAACCCATAAAAAAGGCTAACGGTCAAGTCATAGAAGGGTACTAGCGACAATGCTCCCTTCATAAGGAAAGTTTTTTTATTGCCCGTGTGGTCAACTGAAAGTCCATCAAACTTTGACGGCCACGATCAATCGCGATCGTTTCGACAAATTTCAGCCGTTAGATGATCGCGTATGATTAACGTCCTAGATTTGCCCATGGCGCTGCAAGCGCGAGAGGTTTCTGCCACTGCCCCATTCACCTCGATCCCCACCTCTCCCTCCGTTTCGCTTCCCCTCTCCCCTCTGTTTCGATTCCCCCTTCCCCTCCGTTTCGCTTCTCCCATTCCTCTCTACTGTATTTCGAAACCCACCCCCCCCCCCCCCCCACTTTTTCCCTCCCCGATTCGCTTCCTCTCTTCCCCTATGTTTCCATCCTCCCCCTTCCCCTCCGTTTCGCTCTTCCCCTCCCCTCGGTTTGATTCCCTCCCCCTTTTCCCCCCATTTTTAATTCCCCCCTCGTGTTGAAGGCAACCCTGAATGCGTTCGGTGAACCCTGGGATTTTCAGGGTTCTTGATTTCTGAACACTTAAAAATCAGGGTAGGCA